AGGTGTCTTCTATGTTTTCACTTGGTTCTAATGCTGATAGTAACAAACCCAAAACTGGGTTTGGCCTATTTGGATTGTCCTTTTTGGAGGAAAGCAAAACAAAGCCTGAAGAAAGTGGTCCCGTCAAAGAGGAGGTTGTTGTGGAGCAAGTAAACACTAGAGAAGCACGAGAAGAAACAGAAAATGATCATGATGCAACTTTAAAACATGATAAACATCTTACTCAAGTTTCAGTTCAGGAGGAAATTAATGTAGAACAGTCCTCCCAAGATGATCACGATTCCGTTAAAGTTGTCAACAGAAATGTTACTGAAACTTCTGTTCCACAGAGAGAAATGCATATAGATGTGGAAAAAGAAACCTCATTACAGTTAGATATTTCTTTTAGTCAAAAAGCCCTTGAGACAGTTGAATATCCAATTGGAGATACTTCGAACAGTACAAGTAATCTTGCTGAGAAAGAAATATTTTTGAATTCACCAGATGAAAAACAAGTGATTGAATCACAAACCAGCATGCAATGTGAATATACAGAAACAAGATATGCAGTAAAAGATGAGCAAATAGTTTCACAACCAGACACTGACACCCTGCAAAAGATCATTAAAAATGAATCTGAAATAGTTGGAAAAAGTGAGTTACCAGAAAATTATGACTCCAACCAAATGTCAGAAAATATAACAGGTTCCTTGCAAAAGAACAAAACCTCTGATATGATTGCTGTTGAAGAAATCGGAGATGAAAAGGCTATTTCTAAAGATGAGATTATACGGTCAGAAATTGAAAAACAAGATAAAGAGGCTTTAAATGACACTGTTGATGAAAAGACTATTGATAAAAATATTGGAAACCCTCAGGAGGATGATATGAAAGTATCTACTGAAGAAGAAGAAGCAGTTACACTTGATGAGAAACCACCCGAGCAGTCTTTGAAGGCTGAGGGTGAAGAACAGACTACAGCGGCAGTTCTGACAAAAACATCTGAAGAGATTTTAATAAGTTCTTGTGAAGTACAACAACCAGCAGCTGATATTGAAAAGTCATCTGAAAAAGGTTTGATAGTTAATGAGCAAAAGATAACAATTTCTGATGATAAACTTACCAAAGCGGATGGAGCTTCGATAGTTGCAGGTGAACAACAAACAACTGCAGATGATGTCTACTATGTATCCAGTGACACTTCAAAAATAACTGGAGAAGAGAAAAACACAGCCCCAGATACAGAAAACATAAACAAGGAAACAACTGACAGTGATTCTTTGAAGGAAATTGCCGAAAAACCTATTGAAGAATCAAATGAAAAAGACTTACAATCCTCACCGGTTGCGCTTGCACAAGAAATGACTGGGCAAAAATCAGAAAAAAACTCAGAACCTGTAAATGAAAAAGGCAAAACTCATGAAAGTGATATTTCTGCAGTAGCTTTATTATCAGGGGAAGAAAAGGCTTTTGATACAAGCTTAGCAACAACAGCTCCTAATTTTACTCAGCAACACATGAGACCAGACGTGGTCCGACAACCTGGGCCACCTGGGCAAAGAATGGGAGCACCAAGAATAGGTGGACCACAAATTGAATCCTCAAGAATGGCTGGACCAAGAATCGCTGGACCAAGAATGGCTGGTCCAAGAATGGCTGGTCCAAGAATGGCTGGTCCAAGAATGGCTGGTCCAAGAATGGCTGGTCCAAGAATGGCTGGCCCAAGAATGCAGAAACCCCCTGAACCAACCCCTTTTTCTGGTTTCATGTCTATGTTTTCCACCCCAAGTGTACCTAATAAATCACCAACTACTGGTGGGTTTTTTTCAAGTTCTCCAGGTTCGTTTTTTGGACCATCACCTACTCCTCGTCAGCCTCAACCACAGCAACAGAAAAGCTCATTCTTTGGCATTCCAAGCAGCATTGCATCAGAATCCCTTACGAGTGATCTATTTGGTATGTTCAAAGGTCCAGAGACGACAAAACCAGAGGACTCAGAACAGTATGACATGAAATTAGAAAAAACAGACCTCTCTGCAAATGTAGCAAACCCAGAGAACCCTGAAAAGGTAAATTCAGAAAGTGTAACTTTAAATGAAGAGGAACATATTAAAGCCACCGAGGATTCTGACCTACCTGAAAAAGGGCTTGTTGAGGAAGCAGAAAGAAAAGACAAACCAGAAGTTCCTTTTTCTGATTCTACAGTAAAAACTGAAAACCTTAAAGAAACCACAGAACTTAATGAGCGTTTTGAGGAATCAGAAAAGACCAAAACTGAAGAGTCTTGTAAAGTTACACCAGCTGTAGAGTCAGAAACCAAAAGCAGCTTTGATATACCCATTTTATCTACCTCTAATTTTGGCTTCATGTCTTCAGTTACTGAAGGGACATCATCTATTGGATCCCTTTTCTCAACCTCATCTCCAGCCACTAAAACATCAGAGCCTCAACAGACAGATGGTGGTCTCTTCTCAGGCTTTAAAAGCCTTTCAGCAGGCATATTCCAGGATGACAAGCCAACCAAAAAAGAGGAAACACCAAGTGCAACCTCAGTGTTTAGTTTGAAACTGAGCTCAGTGTTTGGTACCTCTGATTCTACAAAACCTGAACCCACCCCACCTGTGGTCACAACTCAGCCTCAGCCTGAATCCCCTAAACCAGCAGAAGAACTTGGTGAGCTGAACTGCGACAAACTATCTCCATGTTCTGGGGAAACTGAAAGTGCCGACGCAAGTGATACTGAAGGACCAACAGAGACATCTAAAACAGGAAGCTGTGACACCTTAGCACAAACAGCACAATCTGGCCTTCCATCTCTCTCAGGTTCCATATCAGAAAGCTTAGATAAGCCTCAGGTAACATTTAGACCATGTGAGCCAGATGAGGCTGAAGGAAATACACCTGACATCAGGCAAGCAGAATTCGAAACAGCTCACCCTAAAGATCTATTGACGAAGGATGGAGCGAAAAGGCTAGTATCTCTATGATAAATGGGACTACTCATTTATCACATTTTTGTAGACACATGTGCAACCCATGTCCTACCCTTCCTTTTATTTTTCCTTTTTCTATTTTCATAATAGATTAGCCAGTCATAACATTATGACCACTGACATTAATGCCACAGACCCATTTATTACACATAGATATCTTAATTTATTTATGACTTGCACCACAACAATCTTTATTTATTACTGAAGAACTACTCCAACATATCCTTTAGTTGTGCCTTAAATAATAAGAGCTATTTTGTTGGCAGGAAAGTGGTCTTCTCAATAAGTGGACAGATGGTCACACTGTTATGGCTAATATGTGTTGCATTTTGTACTTTTGCCCATTTGTTCATTTCCCATCTGGTAACTTTAAGTTGTTATTATATAATTAGAATTATCTTGATAGGAAAAAAAAAGTACTTTGTTTGGGCCTCGTAATTTATCTCAACACATGAAAAGGATTTCCCTATGAAGTGTTAATATACTGCAGGTACTTTACACTGTCTTAGTTATGCGTTTCCTGACAGTGATAGAAGCTCAATGAATGCAGAAACTGATGGTTTTATTTATTAGCACTCTACTGGGGAGGTTGTTTCAAAGCCCCGCCTTTCTTTGTCCCCTGCAGCTCTCTGAATTACTTCCAAGTATTACCATTTTGTTCGAATGAATCAAAGTCTGGCAGATTTATTATGGTGTTTCTATAAAACCATGCGGGCAGACTGGACACTGGGCTAAAAGCAACGGTGAAAAGTAATTTGGCAAACAGCCAAGACTAAGTAAATCATTCAAGCTAAAGCACATAACCACTTTCCTCATTTGGAAACTAATTCATCTAGCAGTCACACTTCTCTCTCTCCTTCAAAGTCAGTTATTTGTGATTTTCATTATGTATGGGCCAACCTGCAGTCAGTTGGACTGCTTTTACATTGAAGTTATTACAGGGTAAAGGTAAATCCATATATTTTTTTATATGTTTACAAACAATTTGAAAGCCTCATAATGAGCTATTTTTCTATGGCAATATAAAAATTATGCTCTACCTAGATCTTGTAAATAAATAAATATGCATCTAATCTTGGCATGGGACTGTGCAATTTCAAAACAATGCAGGTCTATGTTTAACCAAATGACGCCATCTTTCAAAACTTCTGTCTGCATTTCCATTTAATGTAACTAAGGGCTGCTTGAGTTGCCTTTCGCTTTAAAACAGCTGGTTTACTTAGCTCTTGGTCCACCTCAATTACAGGTTCACAGGTGATAACCATGGCTTGATCCTGCAGAGAGTTGCTCAACATATGTTTCCACAATTTATGTGGTTAATTATAATCAAAAGGAAAAATATAGAGTATGCTGGTGATTTAGGACAAAATAATGATCACCAGAGCTTCTGGGGATAAACGTTAAAAAATATATATAAAATGTTTCTGTGGCCCCCAGTGGATAAATATTTATCAGCTGGACAAGAACGTTCTCCTGTTGGAGCCGCTCCAAGTTTAATAACACTGGATCATTGCTAAAGGCATTCCAGTAGCAGTTATTTTTAAATAACCATAGCAGGACTGCATGTATACACAATGTAGGGTTTCTGAAAGATGGGGTGCTCATTATTAGAATTTTTTTTACTTTTCAAATTTCAATAAATATCAGTGGCATCTTCACTTAGTTCAACATTACATGTTGCAGGATAAGATGTATGCCAAGGGTATACATAACTGGTATTTACTTAAAGCTGCCTATCTTTGTACAACATTCAAAACAGCAGGTATATATAGAGTGACTGCAATACTTGGATTTTATAACTATACCCAAGAACATATTAGTGTTCTCCAACCGCAGGATTTAGTTTTCTCTATTCAGTAACCTTTTCCTACAAAGTGATTTTTTTCTCTTTACCTTTCCCACCTTCCCCTATCTTAGTTATATGAAAATATGCCCCTATATTTAGTATTAAAGTTGTTATAAAACATTTGTATGTTGTGTTGAGTATTTCCCCAGCAATATTTGAACTAAATATGTCATTCTTTACAGTCCTTTGGACAGCAGCCACTTTGACTCTTCAGGGAACCTGAGCCCTGTCAGTTCTCAGCTTAGCTCTGAACTTGAGGATCGCCTCCATCTAGAGACCGTCTCCCCCAGGCAAACCGGGGCGCCTCTTCATAGTGAGGCCTCAAAATCGTTTGAAGATGAAGAGCTGGAGAAAGAAGCAAATGTTCTCCCAGAAGCTGGTGCCAACATGGACCTGGATGTCATCTCTCCAAAGCCAACCTTGGATAATCACAACTCAAGTCTAACTAAAACCCAGTATGTAATTGAATAAATTTATTTTATTTATCAATATTTTTTGCTGTTTTTATTCTTGTAGGACTGTTAGACCTTTATGTTTAACACCTCTAATGAAACTATGCCTTGCAAACAACTGGTGTCTCACTTATCCTCTCTAGTCTCTTGGATGATGGCCCTCCACCCTGCTCCCCATCTAAAGTTTGGTGGCTGAAAACTTACAACAAAGTGAGAGTAAAACTTCATGAGGTAGGAAGGACTGACTCCCTCTTCTTATTCATGCTTTCCTCCTACACACCTCTACTGTGTAGCTTCTTCTTAACTTAATCATGATAGTAGAGTTCTGCATAAACTGCAACAATCCTTTATAATTCCATTTCTCTGTATCTTTATGCTTTTTAGTCTGCCTCTTCCCTGCTGTGTGTTGGTTGAGTTTCTAGCCTTGCCAAAACTACAGTAAAAGCAAATTAACCGAATGAGAAATTGTACTGTATAGTAGAAATACCATACTCAGATTCAAATATACTTGCAGATGAGTAGAAGGATATTAAATATGTGCAAAATTTCCATGCATAATGTTGCAATGCAATTTGCTTATATTTATTCTATAAAAATGGCAAAGATTATTTAAAAGAAATTGAAAATAACTGTGAAAGAAAAAAAAAATTGTTGATTTGGAGCATAAAGTGTAACGGCTGGTGGGGAAAAGGATATGCAGCGATGCTCTTTTGCACTCAGTATGCAGCAGTCTTTCACCAAAGGAACTCCCCAGTTATGCAACAGCTTCATTCATGGAGTGTGAAGCTTTGTCTGGCACTGATTTTACCTTTACCATTGTTTTTCTGTCTCTACCACCTTCACTGGGTCAAGGGGGCATTCGAGGACTGAGCTGACCCGACCTGGCAAGCTAGACTGAAAATGTGTAACACTCAGGTTTATTCCAAACAATCTGGGCCTGAGAGATATTCAGCAGAACTTCAAGATGATTGGCCACAACGACAGCCAGTGTCCGCCTACCAAAGATGGGTTTAGCCGGTTATGTTAACAGTTGAAAAAGCAGCAGATACCATGAGAAACCTCAACTCAACTTACTCCTGTGCAATTTTGCTGTTTCTTTTACAAATGTAAAATCCGCAACTACACAGTGGTGTAATGACTCAGAACCAAGTGACCCAGTACTCAGGCAAGAAAGACAGTGGAATAACTTAAATTTTTTTTATTAAAGTAACAACGGATGGTTTGTGGATCTTCAGCAGCAGCAACTAGGGAATCCGAGACAGGTAACTGTAGTGAGAGGAAACAGGTTAGTGACCATGAAAACCTGATGGAGGATGATCTGAACAGAGGATGATCTGAACTTGGGTTAGTGTTCAGTCCATGCCCAGAGAACGAGGTTAATACTAGTCGGTCTTGCCGATAATATGCAGCGCCCTTCGCACAGAGAGTTCTAGATGACCTTGAAGGACACAGAACTGATAGGAGATCAGATCTGAGCAGATGACAAAGGAAAGTAGGATAATCCAGAGGGCGAAGTCAGGAGGCATATCCAGGTTCAGTAGACAGTAGAATCCAACAGAATCTGAAGACAGGTCAGACAAACACGTCAGAAGTAGGGCAGGCAGGCTCAAAGGTCCGAAGACAGAAATGGGTCAGCATTAGGCAATTAGAACACTATAAGTAAAGCTAGAGAACTCTCACACCAAAGGCTCAAGAATAATTGGGCACTGATTGATTCTCATGTGTTTTTGAAAACACAAATACCAGGTAGGCAGTATTAATGCTGATCTTCCAGAATAGCTAATGCAGAGTACACTCTTCCTCTTAGCTGTAGATAAGGTGCTCCTCCAACAAATTGCACTATGCCACCATCAAAAAAGGTCTTCAGAAGCAGCGGAAAAGAATGAAGGATTATAACAACCTTGTGTCTCCTAAGAATTAATGTCATAACATGTTTATTCTTATTTCTAGGGGGATTACACAAATGTTTTAGCTGTGTCAAATGTGTTTTTAGGTTGAGCATATTTCCTATTTTTTGTGTGTGTGTAATTGCCTTTCACTCTGACTGACCTAATAAAACAAAAACGAGACATAAAAGGACTTCACCTCCTTGCAGGTGTTGACTCCTTTTTGTCACTGCTGCAGGCCACTTCAACGCAGATCTAAGAGAATAATTATTTCATGCCCTCCTAGGTTATTTATCAGTGAAAGATCTCATCTTTACAAGATGGCTTTGATCTTTTGAAACCCTTAAAAAGTATCTCAGCAATCCCTCCCTGCTAGAGAAGAAATTGACATGGCGCCAACTGCAAATTCAAGCCAGTGTACAGTAAGCAGGTAAAAGCAGGATAGTTTGGACACCAACATAGTAAAGCACATTACCTGAGGCATTTAATGGGGCATTTTTTGCCTGATCAGCAAACCTGAAGGAAAATACAGTGAACATCTTTTTTTTCTACGTCAAGTCAGTTAAGTTAATTCAAGGCATTAACAGAAAAATCTATATTAAAACTCACACTATCTACAGACTGCAGAAAATAAAAAGGGACATAACAGACTGGCTGTGAGGTGGCAAATTCTGGTTGAGAGAATATAGTAAACACCTTAGAGGGAGGAAATGAAGCATGTTTTATAATCAAGAAATATAAGCTTTTTCCAAGCTATAAGAAAACACTGTAACCATAACCCAAAAAAAAGAATCACTGGTTGTTACCCTCATACAAATGAACAGCCATAAGCTGTTTTCAGGAAATTAAAGTACAGTTTTTTTAAGACTCCTTATTAACTTTGGGGTATAATCATCCATGTTCCACTCCTAAATACTTTTTGGGTAAGAGTGCTTGGAATGCATGTTCTCCTCCAAAAACTTTGAGCTTTTTATCTGATGTCTCTTTTATCAAAATCCCCATATCTGCTGTGCCTTTCTAATACAAAATCATGGTAAAGTTAACTGAGAGAGAGAGAACAGCTGCTCCTCCATGGAGCATTTCACTTTTTGTGGAAAATTGCTATCACTGATTGGTCAGTTGGCAACAAGCCTTCAGGATTGGTTGACAGGTGGTGTCACATCAATTTTTAGTCGGACATACCGTTTAGATGTTCACCTGAAGAGGAAGATTTCAAGCTGGGTGACATGTGGATAATAAAAACATTTTAAACTAATGAAACTGTCAATCCCATTAGTACAGTTTATTAAGTGCAGAATGGGAGCTAAAGTTGTGATTTTATTTAATATTATGATCTGGTACAGAGCCCAGCAATGTATCAAGTCATAGTTCGCTTTGCAATGTCAATGTGCAATTCTCAGCTGTAAAAGGCCTGCTAAGATGTAATATTTTGTGGGATTAGGAACGGTATTAAACTGGTATTACAGTGCCATCTGACATTCCTTGGAGGGTTTTGTTGTTCGAGACAGAGTTGAAGGATACATAACATGCAAACGTTCTGTTTAAGATGCTCCTGGTTTGCTGCTGGACAGCAGTTATCACATTAAGGATAAAAATAGCCCCTGTGTTTCTGCAGCAAACAATCTAGTATGGCAACAAAGTTAAATTTCCATGGAAACGCAACCTTACTTTACTGTAAGATTAGGTTTCGATTGCTGAAGATGGTGAAAAACTGAACACTCTTCATTCTTTGTTTGGATGTTTTAGTTTATAACATACATTAACATGTAGCTGTTATTTGGGATGATACATCCAATTTTGCTCTCTAGACATGGGATGAATGTGACTCAGAGGGAAGTCATTTTATAATCCAAAAGTGTTCCAATATTCCAGATTCCCTCATTCACATTTGGATGTGATGTTGAGCTCCGATAAGCTTAGTTAAGTCGTTTTTAATTCAACATGAATTATTCTCACACCTACTTTAATGTATATATTCAGAAAAATCTATTGTCTGTTCTGCAGCATTGTGAAATTGTTTTTATTTGTGTATTTTGTCTATCAGAATTCTTAGAAAATGTTAACACGTTTGGCCTTTTCAATCTGGTTTCTGTAAATATCATTCCATTGATACTGCCCTGATCATAGTGTCAAATGACATTATGATGTTTGCAACTGCTGGGAAATGCGCTGTTTCAGTCCATCTTTGGCTTTTGACCCTCTTGTTCATAACATTTTACTGAGTAGACTGCGTGGTTTGGTTGGTCTGATAGGATCTTTGCTGGTATGTTTCTTGTCATATCTGTATGGTAGTAATTTAGTGTCACAACAAGTAAATTTCCGACTCTGCATTGTTACATTGAGTGCCCCGTGGTTCTGTGTTGGAACCTATTCTATTTCTGTCATAAAGTAAGTTGTTCCCTTGGGTAATTTCTTTTGAGAGGTTCCTGAGGTCTGCTATCATCTTTTTGCAGATCATATTCAGTGGTATTGCTGCTTTCAGTCCACTGAGGTTCAAAAATTGGAATCTTTCAAGAAAAAAAATAAGAAAAAAAACTTTAAACAATGGCTTAACATCAACTACCTGCAGCTAAACCGTTATAAGACTGTGGTGCTGTAACTGCTCCTGACTATGCCATTCCAGAAATCAACCAATATTTGGGTCACCCAAGTTCATCTGTTAAATAAAGCCTAAGAAATCTTTGTCTGATAGAGAAATGTTACTTGAACACCACTCAAAGCAGCTCACCAGGAACAGTTTTTTTTTTTCAGCTCAGGAATATCTCAAAACATAAAAGATCTTTGTCTTCTATATTTTTGTTTCTTCTCCTTTAGACTATTGTAACAGTCTGTTTGCTTGACTAAACAAAAAAGTCTGCAGATGGACCACATTATCCTGATTTTAATATCTCTCCATTGACTCCCAGTGGCATTTTGCCTCAATTTTAAATTCTTGGCGCTGATTTTTACAGCTCTCAATAGTCAGGTTCCCTTTTACATTAGAGCCTGTTGTGTCCCTATATCCTTTCTCGAAGGCTGAGGTCATTAGGTAAGAATCTTTTCGTGGTCCATTCCTCCTTCCAGGCTGTTGCACCAAGGCTCTAAATGGACTCCCACTCTTATAACCTTCCCTTGATTCTGTGGATGCTTTCAGAGAGAGCTCAAAACTTACAGTATCTCTTTTGCAAAGCTTTTTAACAACTCCACTGCTATGGCTGCTTTACTATGAATATTTATCATGACGTTTCGTTTTGTTTAATCTTTTAATTCTGCATGTTTGTAAAACACTTTCTGACCCCAAAGTCTCTGAAAGGTGCGATAAAGAATAAACCTTTACTTATGTACTCATAATCAGAAAAAAATGTA